AGGTGAGCGGTGCAGTCACGGGACAGAACCCTCCAAGCTGGAAAAGCCCCGAAGATCATCGAGTCCACCCAGTTCCTGACCCTGTTACGTGCTTAGCTCATTATGGGGATAACCGGGGCAACAGCCTCGCTTCCCTCAGGGGAATTCGTGCCCCAAGGGCTGCACAAAGATGCCCAAAGCGGCCCCACACCGCTCTGAGCAGCACCCATAATGAAAACTCACCGCTCGTTCCCCGCTCCAGGTTCCTGTTCGAGCTGGCACGGAGGCAGCCCAGCATCCCCGACGCCGTCCTCGCCAAGCTCTACGACTCCTCCGGGAAACTTCGGGCCGGGTGCTGCTCCACCAAGGACCCCTCCTCCTGCTTGGACAGCAAGGTGAGTGGTGTGAGGCTTCTGGGGGCTCATCCTTTTCCCCCTTATCCCAGTGCTCCCCAGATCCCCGCCGAGGCTTTTCCCAGCCTGGTGACTCCCACCCTCTGCCCCCAGCGCAAGCGGATGAAGGCAGAGCTGCTCCCCTTCCTGGGAAAGGCCAGCCAGCTCTGCGGGCAGTACAACAACCTGCCTTTCCTTGAGTTCAAGAAGAGGTAAGCCTTTGCCTTCTCCCCCGACAAAAAAATACCCCAAAAAAACCAACCTGGATCACTGGATGCAATCAGAGCTGGTCCAAAACGTCGAGGATGCAAAGCGGAGCCCACCCGGGCGTGCATCCCCCCTCCCCAAAAGCCGCGTGGGGCCGGGATGCCGCAGCTCCCGCTGTAACCTGGCTCCTCACGCCCGCAGGCTGCGGGAAAACCTGAAACAAGCGGAGCCCCAGGCCAGCCCGGCGCAGCTGGAGCAGCTCCTGGAGCAGCGAGCATCCTTCGCCTCCACCTGCTGCCTCCCGGAGGCTCCCCCGCTCCTCTGCGCCTCCAAGGTAGGAGCACGGCCCCTCCTGCCCCTCCCGTGCCGCCGAGGGGCCAGACCCAGCACCGGGACTGCCCCTCGCCTCTTCCCTCCTTCCCCAGGTGAGCTCGGAGCTGGGGGAAGCCTGTGACAAGGAGTCCTGCCTGCTGGCCTAGGGGCCCGGCAGCAGGGATCGCTTCTCCAGGAGCGAGAGCACGAGGCTGAGCTCTGTGAGCACGCAGGAATGGGGGACATGGCAAGGGAGCATCAGGGAGCCGGGCTGGAGGATGTCCTGCAGGTGGAAGCTGTCACCGAGCCCACAGCTCCCTGCCAGCCTTGTGTTCCTGCAGCCAAAATAAAGAGAAATCCCCACGCTGCTGGTGGAACGCCTTTGCTCGCCCTCGGGGCGGTGGGGAGGGTGGGAAAGAGGAGCAGCTGTGCCTCCACATGCACATTCCAGCCCTGATCCTGGGAGCTAAAGCTCTAAAACACTGAGGGACACCAAGGAGAGCACACATCGAACGCCCCCAAGGACAGCAGTCTGTGGGTGTTGGAGTGTTCAGCTCCCTGGAGCAAACAGGAGGACCCTGGGCACCCCCAGCCTCCCCACCTGCCCCCGTGAGCCCTCCCCAGCACGGGTGGGGTTTTGGGGGTGCTGCAGGCAAAGAAACCCTGTCTCAGGCTTCTTTGGAGGGTGGCAAACCCAGCCCAGAAACAGCAGGAAAATCCCCCGAGCCCAAATGCGGCAAACTTTGTGTACAACAAATCCAGCAAGGGAGGCAGATAAGGACACCTGGGTGCACAGAGACGGAGCAGAGTGATAAAACAGAGCCAAGACCGAGAAGAACTCCCTGTTCAAAGTGGCTCATCCCTTTTCTGGGGAGCACTGGCAGTCCCTGCATCACTGCTGAGTTTCCCTGCAGTGTGAGAAACAAGGTGGATTTGGCTGGCACAGTCCCTGCCCATCTCCTGCCAGAGCCCCTCTTCTTTTGGGGTACAAAACTGGACAGAGAGGAAAACTTTCTGTTGGTTTTTTTTTCTCCCCAAAGATCCCACTGACCTGGGACTGCACTGGAGCAGCAAAACCACTGATGCCAAGGCACTGGATCTACCCACCACCCTCCTGTTACAGCCAGCCTTTGGCATTTATTTTCCAAAATATTAATTAATGCCACCCAAACATACTCAATTGCTGTCCAAAAACAACACAAACCATAATCCTCTTACTAAAACCACCAGATTCTTTGGAAAATTCGGGCTGCTTGTGCCTGATGCCAGCCAGCATCACGTCCTCAGGGATTCCATCCAGCCCTTGCCAGCCTGGGCATAAACCAGCTGAATTTTGGGGATTTTTACTTGGTTTTTTAATACCAATTTTATTTTAAAAAATTGGTATTATTATTATTAATATTTATTTTATTACCAATTAATTTTATTTTCCAGCTCTCATTGCTCCTGCCTTCAGAGCCCTGAGGTGGATTTACCTCCTGCCTCTCTAATCCATTCGAAAAAAATGTAAAGGAAGCAGCAAAGTTCCTGATTTAGTTATGTTTTTTTGGTTTTTTTTTTAATCCCCAGCCTTCTTGCTGAGAACAACAAATCCTATCTGCTCTGTTCTCCAGGAACTCATCAGCTTTAGCGAGGAATTCAGTGGCAATGCAGGAATTCTGAGGTGGCTTCCAGAAAAGCATTATTTCATTACAACCAGGGAATGTAGGGCTGCTGTGGGAAAAAAACCCAATAAGAATTACTCGAGGCACTGAATAAAACAGCTCCAACTTGTACCTGGCCACCGCTCCACGAAGCATTATAAAAAGACTGAAATTGTCAGTTTTAGCCACCTCTGAGACCTGCAGTGCCTGCTTTTCCCAGCCATTTTTGGGCCAGCAGCATCCCAGCCACCAACTTCAACCTCCTGAAAAACACACAGGGAAAAAAGCTCATACCTCCTTTTCATTTTATTTGCCTCCCAGACTGTGTACAGCACATTCCCAATAGGAACAGCAAACATTTTCCCTTGGCTTCACTCCCCACAGCCAGGCCCAGCACAGCCTGGGGATAAAAAACCATTTCCATAGTGGGGGGGATCAGCTCACAGGTGCTGCTGGTGCCTCTCAGATCACAGCAGAGCTTCCAGCAGCTGTGTGGAATCTGGAATCCTTTCTTCCTTGGTGAAAGTGCCCCAAAAAACCATCCCTAGGCACCTCAGGGCCATGCTGCGTGTTTGGGTGCTGGGATGAGCCAGGGCACCATTGGAGTCAGAGGCACAGAGTGCATACCCTTATTTCTGATACTTGGCTCTGACATCCAAGAAAACACTGAATTTCATATAACACCATGAAAATAACTGTTAAATAAAAAAACTAAAAGTGTGAGTATGTAAATTAGAGAGATTTCCTAAGTCACTGGGTGAAAAAGTTCGTTTAGAGTTTGAACTAGTTGAGAAAACAGAAAACAAGATGGAAGATTTAGTGTTGTCTCTTGTCCTTCTTTCTTCTTCATCTTCTTCTTCTCCAAGTTTTTAAGTAGTAACAAATGATTGACTAAAGAATGCTGCAGTGCAGCACACAAGTGTTAAGTCATTAAGTCACTAAGAAAAATAATTTACGTGTCTATTGTTGAGTAAAAATGAGTATAAAGATAAAAGAACTGTGTATTTCAAAGTAATTTTACGCCATTCAAACCAATTTAAACCAGACGATAGTGAGTTGAACAAAAAGTCTAAAAAAGACCTGCCAAGTCTATCAATAATACATTAATAAACATGAAAAACAAGAGCCTAGCAAGGCGTTAAAGCATCCTTCCTAACACAAAACTAAGATAAACGAAACTCCCCGTGCAAGAGCATCCCAAAAGAGCTCAGCCCTGAAAAGACCGAGATCCAACAAGGGCACAGCAGCAATTCCCGAGGGACTGGCAGCCCCGGGGTGGTCATTGCCCTCTGGATATGTGATGCAGATCCCTGCGGCGGTCTCTGCTCTCACCCTGGCACGCTTTGAGCTGAAAAAGCAGCTTTTCAGTCACGGCAGGGCTTCACACAGCTCCTGAGACACCCCCAAGCCCCTGCTCCAGCAAATCACGCTGCCAGCTCCAGCTCCCGGGAATCCGCCCGTGAGGATGAGCCCGGGCAGGAGCAGAGGGCTGGAGCTCAGAGCAAACCAGTTTGCCCAGCAGCTGCTCCCACGCTCACCAGTTGGAGCGCATCCCGTGCCTGGCAAGGGCAGTGCCAGCCTGGAGGGGTCCGTCCTGCCCTGGCGCAGGAATCCAGGCCGTGCCCGTGCCGGGAGAGCGGAGCCCGGGGGCAGGAGGGGTCAGCGGCTCTCCCGGGAGGCTCCGGCCCCCCAGTGCTCCCAGTGTCCCCAGCAGCGAGTGGCAGGGGCGGCACCAAGAGCCCCCAGGGCCGCTCAGCAGGGCGCGCTCGGAGCGGGAGCCGCTCCCGTGGTGGGAATTGGCAGCGGCTCCACCGCGTCCCCATCCCCCGCGGAACGGCGTGGGAGACACCGGGGACACCCGGGCTCATCCCGGGATGATGCTGCTGCTGCTGCCCCCGCACAGGGTCCGTGCCCAAACCCACTGCCAGAGCCACGGGGGAAAGGAAGGAAGCAAATCCATCACCTGTGGCTGCCCGGGCAGGGTCCGGACCGCAGCTCCGGGGGAGACGGGAGTCAAGGGCTCCGCTACGCCCGGTTCTGCCCCGCTTCACACCCATTTTCTATCAGTTTTTCCCGCTTTCCTTCACCCGCTCCCGCCCCGGGACACGGGGACGCCCCCGGCTCTCTCCCACCCACCGTCGGGGACCGGGAGGGCGCCCGGGGATGCAGAGCTCGGCTCGGTCCTCACGGAGAGACGCGGCGGCAACGGGAGCAGCTCCAGCACAGCCCCCAGGCACCCGCAACGGGACCCCGAGCCCGGCAGATCCCCGTGGAGCCGGCACCGGGACCCTAAGTCCGGCAGATCCCCGTGGAGCCGGCACCGGGACCCTGAGTCCGGCAGATCCCCGTGGAGCCGGCACCGGGAGCCGGGATCGGGACGGAGGAGCAGCTCAGTGTCGCCGTCTGGCGGCCCCCGCGCCCGCAAGGACATGGGCGACACGACGACACCTTTCCTGCACCCCTTTATTCAAGCCGCTGCCCGGTTTTAGCCGCTGCTGCCGCCCGGGACCCGCCCGCAGGTACCGGGAGCTCCTGCGGACACAGCGGGGCCCGTCGGCCTCGGCACCCGCCCCGGTGCGGGGCTCCGGTAGCACCGGCTCGGTGGCCCCCACCCCCGGCTCCCCTGCACCTTCACGCGATGCCCGTTTCCCGCACATCTTCACTTCTGGATGGTGAATCCTTGTTCAGAGTTTCCATCTCTTCTGCTTTTCTCTTCCTACGCTGCCTCCGACAGTGGCTTGAGAGGGGGGAAAAAAATCGTGAAAAACAAACAAAAAAACAAACAAGAAGCAGAAGGGGGCATGACAGTGATGCTCCTCTCTCTCCCTCGGCTTTTACCCTGCAGAAGATCCATATGGGATCGCAGCTGCCTTCCAGCCCCAAAGGAATGTCCCAGGCACCTCCCAACACGTGCAGGACCGTGTCCCACCAGCCTGGGACAGCCCCAGTTCTACTGGCCTGGAGCCAGGGGAGCTGGGCAGGGTTTGTTCCCTCCTCCCTTGCCCTTCCCGGCCCTTTCCCTCACGTACTGACTGCAGAGGCAGATGCCGACGATGAGGATGATGAGGGTAACGATGGCGGCGATCAGGGAGATGATGACGATCTGGCCCTGGTCCCCTCGCAGGTAGAACAGATCCACCCTCTCGCAGCGAGCCCCGGTGTAGCCTCTCTCGCACCTGCCCCGGGGCACAGGGGAGGCACGGGCCGGTCCCAAAAGCTGCCGAGGTGCCCCTCTGACGCTGCTCTCCCGGGCACAGCATCCCTCCCCGTACCTCCGTGTCCCCGCGGGGGTGACTTACACACAAGCCGGTGCCTGCTCGGCCACGAGGAAGCGGCACCTCCCTCTGACACAGTAGTGCTGGAACTCCTCCGGGCACCGGGAGAAGTGGCTCTGCCGCCGCAGCTGCGTCCCGTTCCCTGCGGGCGACAAGGACGAAGAACACCCCCAGAGGGGTGACGCTTTTGCCCAGAGGCAGCAGCGTCCCTGAGCCGCTGCATCCCCGCAGCAGCTCCGGAAGCAGCCCTGGGATGCCGCACGGCTACGCTGGACGGAACACCTGCTCCCTCTCTCCTTTCCAAGACCTGCGGCTCTCCCAGGCCCCCTCGCACCACCCTCTCACCTGTGCATGCCTTGGCTGTGCCGCAGCTCAGCCCCTCCGTGCCGTGGCCGGCAGTGATGTTGGTGTCGGCGCTCACGCAGCTGAAGAACGCCAAGCCTGGAAGGCAGCGGGGGCAGCTCAGAGGGGGAGCCCCAGCACCCCCGCACCGCCAAAGGGAGGGCGCCGGCCACGGGCTCTGCAGCTGCGCCCACGGCCCCCCTTGGCTGGCAGCATCAGCTTTTCCCCCAGGGCCGGGAGAAGGGAAAGTCGCGGTCCCCGCCTGCCGCCTCCACCCGCCAACGCCCCAGCACGGGGGTCTGGGAGGCAGCCTGGTGGGGTTTGGGCCGCACAGCACAGGCAGCTGCTCCTCTGGCCAGGGAGGATGCGGGGAGAGATCCCCAGGGAGATCCGGAATCATGGAATCACTGATTGGTTTGGGCTGGAAGAGACTGTAAAGTTCTTCTTGTTCCAACCCTGCTGCCATGGGCAGGGACACCTTCCACTATCCCACGTTGTTCCAAGCCCTGTCCAACTTGGCCTTGGACACTTCCAGGCATGGGGCAGCCACAGCTTCCCCAGGTAATCTGTGCCAGGACCTGCCCACCCTCACGGGGAAGAATTCCTTCCCAATATCTCATCTAAACCTGCCCCTTGTCAATGTGAAGCCGATCCCCTTTGACCTGTCACCTCCGTGCCCTTGTGCCAAGTCCCTCTGCAGTTCTCTCGGAGCCCCCTTAGGCACCGCAAGGCACTCTCAGGTCTCCCTGGAGCCTCGCACAGCCTGGGCGAGCAGAGGGGGCCGCCACGCTCCCGGTGGCCGCGGGGTGAGAGCGGGAGGCGGCCGAGGCCGTCAGAGCGGCGGTAACCGGATCGCTGGCATACCAGCACTGACTCAGCACGGCCCTCCCCAGGGATTCACCCGCCGTGGTGGCACCCAGGGAGCGGGGACAGGTCCTGCCTGCCGGGCCAGGCTGCTGGGTGACTCCCGAGGAGGTGGCTCGCCGAGGCGGGGCTGTTCCCATCCCGAGCGGGTTGCGCTACGAGGCTTCGCAGAGAGCCGAGAGTTTGCGCGGCCAAATCCTGGCAGCCTGGTCTCCCGCTCCCTGTTTCCTCACCCGGCACCTTGGAAACAGCGGTGGAAGCTGCCCAGCCAAGCCTCCGGAGCTCCCCCCCCGCCGTCCTACAGCGGGGACATTCCCAGCACACGCGTCCCTCCTGGCTATACCGAGCCACCACCGCGCTAAGGACGTGCTGCGGGGCACAGCGCTCCGAGAGAGGCGAGGGAAGGGAACCCACCGCCCCACCCGGCCCGGCAGCAGGGTGGGAGCTGCCTGGCGGGAGCCAGGGATGAGCCACGGGGCGGCTGCACCCCTGGATCCAGCTGTGGGCGGCGTGGGCATGCGGCGGGACAGGGAGGGAGGCTGACTTCACTCCCGGTGACCGAGTTCACAGCTCGACATGGAAAAGATCCCCACCAAGCTGAGCTCCCCACCCTTATTGCAACCAGATGCGGAGTTCTGGCATCCTCCGGGCTGGCAGCTCCTTGGCAGGACCGCCCTGGTGGCAGTGCCAGCTCCAGAGGGAGCGGGGCTGTGCCCACCCACAGCCGGATCCAGAAGCTGCAGGTGCAAACGCCCCCGTCCCTCTGATGCACGGGCAGACCGGCCCCACTATCTTGGGCTGCGCCCTTTCCTGAGCAGAGATAAGCCAGGAAAGTATCCCAAACACTGGATTGTTTTGCTGTTGACACCCCCATGCTCTCTCCCAGAAAGGCCAAACTGCAGGAGAGCAACCACCCAGGACGCTGCCGTGGTCTGAGGGGACACACCAGCCGTAAAAACAGGTCGGCTGCCCTTGGTTTCCTCCTGCCAGCACAGGTTTGGCAGGTTTTGCCAAAGTGCTGTCACCAGCCCTGCCAAAGGGCCAAACCCAAAGTGCTCCCTGCGGAGAGAAAAGCTCCCCCGAAATCCCAGCACTCCCTGCCAGGGAGGGTGTCAGCGGCCCAGCCTATCCGTGCTTATTTCCTGGCAGCCACGAGCAGACACCTGTCTGCAGCTTCCCGCTTCCCAAAAACTTAGGAACTAAGGTGGGAATGCTCACACACTTTGCTGAATAGGCGCTGGCTCCCCCGCCCCCGGCATCCCACATTCCCGGCGCTGCCAAGGATGGCTGTGGGTGCTCAGGCACCCATGAGCATCAACAGGTGGTAAAAGCATCCCAGTCCCGCTCCAGGATCCAGCCATGCTTCAGGGATTTAGGGGCGCGGGGAGCAGTGGATTGGGAGGGTGAGAAGTTCCAGGATGGGACCCGGGGGCACACGGGAGAGCCCAGGGACAGGAGTGGGTAAACACCAGGCTGGATATAGAGGAAGGGCTGGGATGGGACTGTCCAGAGGGGCGCGGGGAGTTACTGGAGAGACACCAAGATGGACACTGGGATGGGACAGGGCGGGCATCAGGATAGGGTGTCAGAGGGGGGAATACAAGGGTTCAGCAGGATGGGATCAGGGGAGCAGCAGGATGGGATGGGGGAAGCAGCAGGACAGGCAGGGGGGAGCACCGGGACGGGACCGGGAGGCAGGTGCAGGATCATCAGTCTGGGACCAAAAAGCAGCGGGACGAGAGAGAGAACAGCGCCGGCACCGGGGGTGACACCGGACCGGGCCAATGCAGGGCCGGGACAGCGAGGAACACCCTGCCAACCCCTGGGTATCCCGGGACCGGGCAGGTGGCGGGGCAGAGGGACTCCCGTGCTTACCGGAGGCGAGAGCCAGGCAGAGCAGCAGGGTACCGGGGCCGCCGCCCGGGGCCGGGGCCGCCGCCGCCTCCATGCGCGCCGCCTGCCCGGTGCCCGGTGCCCGGCAGCTGCGGCGGGGCGGGACGGGGGCGGCCGCTCTGGCACCACCGCCCTCCTCCTCTTCCTCCTCCTCCTGCGCCTCCTCCTCCTCCAGCTGCGCGGCTCCCACCCCGCCGGAGCCATCCCTCGGCGGGGTGGCGGTGCCCCCGAGCCGTGTCCCCTCCCGTGTGTCCCCTCCCACGCGTGTCCCACCTCGGACCAGCCACGCCTGGCCTCGGCCTGCCAGGGGGCCTCCAGAAGATGCCTCACCCCGCATCCCTGGGGATTTGGGCGGCGAGAGGGATCCCCCATCCTGCCGTCACGGGCTCCGGGCATCCCCTCTCCAGCGGGACAGAGGACGTGCAGCCAAAGCCCAGCCTCGTCTCCCCAAAGCCTTTATCCCCGGCCAGCTCGTGTGAAAATTTAGATTTATTCACAGCAAGCGGCTATAAAACACCCTCCCAAAAGCCTTGGCAGGGAATGACGGCAGCTCCAAATTATTCTGCGAGGGGCTGTGCCTTCGCACCAGCCCTCCGCACTCTGGCCTCGGGGGGTATTTTTTGCCTCGGAGTGTGTGAGAGGATGTTCCCGGTTCCTTGAGTAACACCTTGAGGAACAGAAGAGACCCACGGGGGATGGAGGGTGTCCCCCCGGTGCTGGCACGTCCCCTCCTGCCGCCTGGGGCTGCTCGCATGGGATGCTTTGCCGTGGGCTGGCGCTGTCCTGGCTCCGAGAGGAGCCCGAGAGTTTCTCCCGGCAAAGAGGGGGAGCTGCCCCCGGCCCCGCGTCCTTACAGGCGCGAATTAAGGTGGAAATGAAAGACTGGAAAGAACGGGTGACCTCAAACCGCAAGCTGGCAGCTATTAATGCAAGCGCTGGCAGCCACCCAGCCATGCCATTTGGCCGCTGGCCAGGGGGTGAGCAAGCTCCCTTAGCTCTGGCCAGCCAAAAATTCCTGCTGCAAGCTCCTGCACACCGGTGCCGCCGGCCCCTCGGCTCACGGCCACCCCGGCTCCCCGCCAGCGGACCCCCAAAAACAGGCAAAGTGTGAAGGATGGTGCAAAAGCTCTGCTGGGGGCTTGGGCAAGACCAGCAAAAACCGGCAGCTTGGTGTGGTACCAAGAGGAGCTGGCTTCATCCCGGTGGGGTGGGCAAAGGCAGGGAGCAGGCAAAAAATTCCTCGTGCCCACCAAAATCGAAGTGTCCCTCCAGTATCCTTCGTATGTGGATGAAACTGGTGGGGAAAAGCATTTTAAAGAGATTTTAAGAAAGTTGGGACCTTCGGGGGGGCGGGGGGGGATGTTGCCAGAAGCAGTGGTTTTCCAATGAAACTGGAAACAAAGTTATCCCCAAAGAAGGATCTCTGCCTGGCCCTGTCCCCTGCTCTGCTGAGAGCTCCCGTGCTGGGAGGAGCAGGCAGAGGTGACCAGCAGGTGGCAGCTGGAGCCCGAGGCTGGTGGCCCTCGGGGGTGCTCCAGAGCCCGGCCCTTGGCACCCCAACACTCGGCTGGGGCTCGGCGTCGGCAGCCAAGGCCACTGCGAGGAGCAGCGGCTGTGCCCAGCCCCTCCCTTCCCCTCCAAAATCTCCTGCCCGTGGGAGCGCGCAGCACCAGCAGCAGCAGCAACAACAACAATAAAGGACGTGAGATGAGAAGCAGGGAGATTATCACGCTGTTCCCACGGCGGCACCGAGCTCCCGCAGCAACAACAGCGCTCTTTTCCCTCCTCCCAAGCAGAGAAAAGGTTTTCAAGGAGAGCTGAGATGCTGATATCGCCCGACACCCGTCTGCCTTAGGAACACCAGCTGGATTTTGTGTCCTGCTGTTTTAGGCCCAGAGCCAGGATCCATCCTGAGAAAACGCCACACAACAGAGCAGAGGGCTGAGTAACCCCAGTTAAAGACAGCTCGGCCGCAGCCTGGGCTCTGTAAATCCTTTTCCATAGTGAGAATGCAAAGGCCTGGGGAAGATGAGTTCAGCCTGAAAATATTTCACCCGCAGCACAGCTCTTTCCAGGAGGAAAGAGGTAGGAAAATGGTTCTCGTACCTCCTGCTGTGCCACAGGTGTCTCCTGGCTGCATTCTTTGGGCACTGGGAGCTGCATTTTGGGAGCTGTTTGTGCCCTAGGAAGGTGGGGCCCTGGCTGCTTGGCTCCCCTTGACTCCTGTACCTGGGTTGTCCCCCGTCACAGGCACCAGATCCCCTCTAGGCAGCAGGCCAGGGGATCCCCAGGGAGCTCCAGAATCCTGGAATCACACAACAGTTTGTATTGGAAGGGACCTTAAAGCTCTTCTTGTCCCAACCCTTCCACCAGCCCAGGTTGCCCCAAGCCTTGTCCAACGTGCCCTGAACACTTCCAGGGATGGGGCAACCACAGCTTGTCCCAACAACCTGTGCCAGGACACGGCCATTACATCCATGTGGGAGCTGGCACGGCCCCGAGGATGGAGAGGGACAGGCGGCAGTGACACAGAGCACCACGCCAGCTCCTCGGTGTGCGACACCCGCCGGCACAGTGTGGCACTCAGCATCCAGCCCCAGCTCCTCACCCCAAGCCAGGCGGACCCGTCCCACCGTCCCTACGGTCAATCCCGGGCATCCCCCGGGCCCTGCCCGCATCCCGGCGGTGCCGGTCCCGCATCCCGGGGCCGGCAGGTGCCGCTGTGGGCCGGGCGCGGGCGGGGGGCGGCGGCGGGGGCCGGGCCGGGCCGGGCCGGGCTGTGCGTCCCTCCCGCCGCGGCTGCCAGCGCCGCCGGCACCATGGGCTGCTGCTGCCGCCTCCTCTTCGTCGCCTTCCTCCTCCTCCTCCCGGCAGGTAAGAGCCCCCCGCCGCCGCAGCGGGATGGGCAGGGTGGGGGGACACGCCGGGGACCCCGCGGTGTCGGGCTGGGAGCGATGGGGATGGGGAAGGAGGCAGCCCCGGTGCCCGGCTCCTTGCCGGAGAAGGGCTCCGCAGAGCCAGCCCCCGCCGCGGGTCCCACTCAGTGACTCAATGACACCCCCCCAGTGACGGCGGGGAGGTCGGGCGAGAGGTGTTTCACCCTTCTTTTCCTTATCCCTCGCCCCTCGGAGGCGTCTCCGGCAGAGTCCCCGTCTTGCCTTGGAGGAGGACAACTTGATGGGACCACCAGAGTCCCCTCACGGTCACCCCCTGCCCGGGCTGGACTCGCCCCCAGCCCCGCATCCCCCTTCCCTCCACGGTCGCCGCTTCCAAGGAGCTTTTACGGCTCTCCTCGGCCTTGAGTGGAAGCTCCGAAGCCCCCAGCCCCTGGCGCTTTCCCCCCCCCCCACGGCCGCACCAGCCTCCCCATGGCACAGAAACACCCGATTTGACATTTCCCCGCCCCGAGAGAGTCAGCGGAGACGCGACAGCGAGCGCAGGTCACCCCTCCAGCCGCTTTTAATAAACACGAGGAGCTGCTCGCTCGGCAGCGTGGAAAACACACTTGCATAACCGCGGGGAGAAATCCATGGGCTGAGCTGTGGCTGTCACATCGCCGCCGGCAGGGCAGAGCGGGGGGACCGGGATGAGCTCCCGGCACAGCCCGCAGCGAGCCCCCCAGAGCAGCGGCCGGGCTGGGTGGGGGCTGCAGGACCCCCAAAGCATCACCCCGGTCAGCAGGTGGGAGATCTTCCCTGGATAAATGACCCCAGCGGTGAGAGGGAGAGCAGGATGAATAATTCTCCCTGCGAAGGGGGGATTTGCCGGCGAGCTCCCGATCTGTGCTTTCCGAGGAAATGCGTTTGGGAGGGATGGGGATGAGCCTTTTTGCTCCGCAGGGATGCTAGGGATGCTCTCCCTTCTCCTTCCCGGGCCCCTGCCTGGCCCAAATTTGCCCCTGAAGCAGCCAGTCTCTGCTGGGAGTCAGACTTTGGGGCTGGGAGGCGTTTTTTTCCCAGCGCCCGGGCCAAACCCAAAGCTGTTCCCACGACCATCCCTCTCTAAAGCACCAACGCCAGCCAGGCTTGGCAGAAGAAACAGAAAAGATTTTCCCTGCACTGGGGTCCCATGGCTCTCAGGCTGCTCCCAAATAACCCTGGAGCATCTTTCAGATGCTTTGTACGTTTTTGTCCCTGTTGAAATAATTATTTAAAAAAGAAAAACAAACAAACAAACCCCACAAAAACAAAACAAAAGAAAAACAAACAAACAAAATGCACCAAAAAAATCCCCACAAAAACTATATATATATATATTTATATTTATATATTTCTAGATACATATTTATATTTATATTTTATATATGTATATATATATATGTTTATATATATATGTCTATATATATATCTGACTTGGGAGGAAACACAAATCACGATTTAAATATGCTTCAGGCACATTCTTCAGGACTAAATGACAGCGAGGACGTCACTGGCCAGGAGTAAAATAAGTCAGGGCTTTGCCTGGCCACGTAATGAAATAACAGCGTCTCGCACAAGGAAGTTTTTATCCTGTTATTACTCCTTACTCTGGAAGCAAATTGAAACCTGCTTTGCTTTCCTGACCTGGTGCCCAGCCCTGAGCCTGCTCTCCCCTTCAGCAGTTCCCCCTGTGCCCCAGCTGAGACATTTTTAAGTACCTTTTAGAAGCAGCTCTTGGCTTTTAAGGTTTTGAGTGCTGCTTCTTGGAGGCTCCGGGGTGCAAGAGCCGCTTTTTGGGCTCTTGGAGCATCGTGGGTTGTTTAAAGCTGCCATGGAGGAGGCAAATCTTTAGGCACTCTGCTCCCCCGTGAGCTGAAGGATGGGGGAATTGGGTAATTATCCCCTCTCCCAGCCCAAATGAGCAATCAGCCTCTAATACCAGAGGATGCTCTAAAATTCCTCCGCCAAACCCAGCTGCTTCTCCCCCTGGGAGCGGCTGGGACGGGGCTGATGCATGTTGGAAGCTGCACCTAGAAGCACTAATTAGCAGCCAAACAGCCAGCCAGGAAAATTAGGGGGACTGGGGAGTTGTCACCTGGGCAGAGCTGCTTCTTGCAAAACTCCTGGCTGGCTCCAGAGCCATATCCAAGACATGTGCCTGGGAAAAAGTGTTGTGAGGTGTCCCAAGCAGGCAGGTCCAAGGAGAGAACAAAGAGCATCCCATGGGATCATTTACTCCCCTTCCCCAGGGAAATAAGCACAGCCTAACACCTGTCTGCATGTTTCAAAAACATAACTTGAAATACTTAATGTGTTTTTTCATTATTTAAAGAAGAAAAACATCATTTTAGAAAGAGCTGCTGCTGTCAGCTCCTGCTTTCCACCCCAGGTCCTCATCAGCTACCTCTGGCTGTAAAGGCTGACCATTAGCCAGAGGGTGTTTTGTCAACTCTCAGGAGGAAAAAAAAAACACTTAAAAATTCCTCTTCACCTTCTTTTCTGCTATAATTTCATTGCAGCATTCAGGCTCAAGGGCCTCACGAGCTGAATAACTAAGCTTTGGTGGGGGGAAACACCAGACTTCCTTCGCGTGGAGGGTGCGTTTGTTGCGCCAACAAAATCCTCACCTCTGGGTTTGGATCGTGGGGCAGGGGAAGGACCTGGACACCCACCCCAGGCAAGGAAGGAGGGACAGTGCAGCATGCAGGGAGCCACGTGAATTTTAAAAGCTGTTTTCAGCTGGGAAGAGCGGAGACTGCAGGGTGGTGGAGCTTCCCTGCTGCTTCCTCAAGGGGAGTGTGCCCTCAGCAGCATCCCTCAGGGCCTGGAGGCTGTGCAGGAGGCAGCCAGGCCTCCACATCAGCTCCTTCCTCCCACAGAACAGCCCGGAGGAGAGCACCAGCTGCTCCCCAGGCAGGGAGAACCTGGCTTGCAATCTCTCTTTGCCAGATTCCCAAAGCACCCCCCTCGTTTATTTTTGTGGATTTTGCTCTTCCCTTCTGCAAGGGGCAGGCTGGTGAATCCGGGGAGGAGGAGGATACCGATGGGCTGGCTCAGCAGCAGCCCCATCCTCAGGGAGGGACATCCCTGAGGTGTCCTGGCTGGCTGCATGGCTGGGACAGAGCCTGGGGATGGCGAGGGACACACGGACACGGCGCAGGGATTTCTGTGGTGGAGCCGTTTCTCTGAGCCACGGAAAGCTTCAGAGCAATTAGACCTAAACCACTTAACGACCATGCAGCAGAATAAAACTAATCATGCAGGAAGCCAGCTTGGCTTGCCAGTAAATCAGAGCAACTGCAGATTTATTGGATCTGATGGCCTTGGCTTCTCCTCACAGGCAGGGAATAGCTTTGCCTTTTACCTGTTGGCGTTTCTGGCCTCTGCTTGTCCCCCTCGGTTTCCTCCTCCTCTCGGAAGTGGTTTCGTTCCACGGCCAGCAGACCCTGGCACAGAAAACAGAGGAGATAGAGCAGGAAAGAGTGGAGCAGCACATCAGCCAGGGGTGCTGCTGCTAACCTTGGGGGTCACCAGCATCCACATGCAGTGCTGGAGCTTCGCTGCACAACCTCAGGCTGGAGATAGCCCCAGGAGTCACCACTTCCCATCACTGATCCAGCTGGGTGCTCCCTCTGTGAAGGCATGAAAAAACTTGGTGAGCGTGAGGCACAGCTTAGAGCCTGCAGAACTGCTCCCAGACCTCCCCACCATCCCTGTTTCTTGGGGATAACAAGGCAGGAGTCCACAGCAGCGCCCCAGAAGAAGAAAGGCACAAGTTAAAGGCCCAAAGCAGCCACCACATCCTCTGTGTTCCTTCCCCCGTTGCAGCACAGAGCTCAACCAGCACAGAGCCCTGTGCACTGCAGATGGGGCCTCCAGCCAGCGAGGAGGGAACATCCCCAGCTCCCAAACTGCTGCTGGTGACAGGGGAGGTGAGGCAGTGCAGGGCTGAGCAGCTGGAAAAACTCGTTGAACCCAAAGCAAAAACCAGTCTGGCTTAGTCCTAGCTACTTGAAGGAGAGCTTTTGCCATCCACAGCCAGATGCTGCTGGTTTCGTAGCAAAGAAATACAATGAAAATGATGCCTGAGCATTAACAAGGGGGAGGGGAGCCACCAAAAACCAGCACAAGTTATGGGAATCCCCAGCCACAGAAACCAAAGCTGAGCCAACGAGGTCACGAGCAGGAAATCCTTACTTACGCTTAAATATAGATTGTTTTATTGCTCTGCATCACTTAACCTGGTTATAAACCAAGGCACACTCAGGGGACTCAGGGCTGTTCTGTCATCAGCATTTGGTGAGGAGAAGCATAATACAGAACAGGCAAAAGGTCCTTCTTTGCTCACTCTTGTGATTAAAGACCAAGGTTTCTGCAGAGTTTTGCTTTAAAGAGCGGTGATGCTTATGGATGGTCTTGGTTACTCGCGGTTTTTGGGTGTTTGCCCCAAAACCAGCTGCTAAACTGGCACAGAAAGCGGTACCCAAGCTGCCTGCACAAGCACAGCGTGCTCTGTGTGTCCAGCAGCTCTCCTTGTTTTTCTCCCGCTGTTGCATTCCCTGCTCAGAACAGGTGGTGAGATTCCAGTCGGGATCTGCTGCCTGGTCTGGCAGGCGGAACAAACAACATCGGTGTTATGGAAACTCTGATTGTCCCTTTGGCCTTGGCTGCTAGGGGAGCATCCCTGGCTGCAGCTGGGGCTTGGGTGCTCGAGTTCATTTGGGCTGAGAGCAAGCTTGTGGGTCAGGTCATGTGGATCCTCCTGTGGCCGGGTCAGAGGCGATGAGTTCTGAAGTGAAGCTTGTTAAAAGCTCTATCTCTGCCTTATCAGTGGGTGTTTGTTTGCTGCAAGGTGGCTGCTCCCATCTGATGTCATTCAGGCGGGCTGGAGATGTTCTCTGGTGGCTTTTGTGCTGCCTTTCAGCCGGCAGAGCAATTTGGGATTTGCTGCAATGGCTTTTGGAGTGCCTGGGAAATGCATTGTGGAGAGGCTGCCAGCCCAGGTCAAGCAGCTCTTTCCCAAGAGGAGCTTGAGCATTGCTCAGCTGCTGCAAGGGCAAGACCTGCCCCTCTGTGAGGCTTCCAGGAGCCAGGAGAGCAGCATGGCAGTAGGAGGGAGAGATAATTCATCAGGCTCGTTCCTTAGGTTGGCACATGATCAGGGCTAATATTCCCCAAGAGCAGGATATTCGAATGACACGGCTTTGGGCTCTTCTTTCCTTGGCTGTTTTCTGTATTCCTGGTGGAGAAAATCTAGGAGAAGGACTTCCCAAAGCTCCTGTGGGGCTCTGGAGTGTGACACTTCTGCTTTCCCAGGTGGTTGCCTCATCCTGGCAGTCCGCTGCCTCGCTCTGTGCTGGATTCCAGCAGGGTGGTCAACCGCCTTAAGTGAATTAGATGAGCAAATTCCTCAGGGCTGAGCTATGCTCGGCATCCTCTGGGAGCTAACATCCCTCAGACCCCCTGACAGCCCGTGGCCGACGTGTTTTTAGCCTTTCAAGTCATCTGAGTGAAAGAGTTGTAGCTGTCTGTTTTGTCCCTTGTTCCGGGGCACTCCTCTGCTTCTGCGGCAGCTCCTGCCGACCAGGTGTTGGGCAAACAAAGAAAAGCTCTCCTCGCCTCTTGCTTTCCTTTTGGTTTTCCCTTTCAGATGCATTGCTTAGAGGACAGGACTTGCAGACAAGCTGGATGCCACCCATGGATGGGACAGGCTGCCCATGAGCTGGGATCTGGATGGGGACGTGAGGAGCACCAGCCAAGGGGGCCCCAACCCCGTTCCTTTTGTCCCTTAATCCTACCTCCATTCAGAAGCAGCCTGCACTGCCTCTAGGATCATGGATTATCTCCTCTGGGTGAGCCCCCAGGGGCTGTGGCTGGGTCCCAGATGACCTCTGGAGCTGCTGGCTCGGAGGAGGAAGGGGACAGCACAGCGCTGGCACAGGCAGGGATTGCTCGCAGGGAGAGGCAGGGAAGGCTGAGCTGAGCAGTGCCTTCGGTGGTGCTCGCTCTCCTGGGAAGAGTCCCTGTGACTTGTGACCTCCTTGGCCAGGAGCGCTCAGCCAGCAGCCAAAGATTGTTCCTGCCTCCAGTTCTGGCTCAGCCTCCGAATTTATACCCCTTAGATATTATCGGAAAGTTCCTGACTCATCCAGGCTAGCAGCGCTGCCAGCTTCCCCAGCTCCCTATCGGTTTGCCTCCAAAGTTCAGGCAGATCATGGGAGCTCTGCTGACCCCGAGCACTTTGGGACATCAGGGTGGCTTTGCAGAGAGGTGGAAAGCTGCCTGTGTCCCTGAGAGTCTGGGAGTTTCTGCATTTCCAGGGGTAACAAACTTCCCAGGTGCTCCCAGCCCTGGGAGGATCCTGCTGTGCTTGATGGGCTCGTGGGGCTGCAGAGGCTGCCTGGCACCTGCTGGAGAAATCTGAAAGGTTCCAGGTGTGTTGGGGCAAGGATGATGGAAATTCAGACGGATTCTGAACCTTGGTGTGAAGGACCTTTGGTCCAGGCCTCCCTGCTGCTGTGGTGGCCGGATGGTTTATCCAGTAGCCAGATTCCAGCTTGTCATTCGTGTCCTCCTCCCCGTCCCACGGTTTGTGTCCTCAGCCTGAGGAGGGTGAAAGCTCAGAGGCATCTCCAAGTGCTTCTCCTCAGGAAAGAAGAGCAGCCACGGCCTCAGTCCCACCTCCAAGACCCCTTTGCTTGGGAAATGGGGTCCTTCAGGAACAAAAAAAAAAAAAAAAAAGACATTTTGGCTGGATTAACGAGTCCCTGCTCGCCAGTGCCAGCTCCCATTGTTTCTACACACAGGCACTGAATGTTTCTGTCCTCCCCACTCATGATTAGTTCATTGCAGCTGGAGTGAGTTCCCTCTCTTCCCAGCTTGGGGATGCTCTGGGGGTGTAAATAAACGAATACACGGAATAAAAATGCCTCCCGGGGCTGGCACACTCTTCCCTCATCCCCACCATACTCCAGGGGACCAGAGCTGGACCAGTGCTGAGTACAGCCCTAGAAAGGGGGGGAAAAGCCCCAGCAGTCAGCTGGTGGGGACAGAGGGAGAAATGACTCATCTTCATGCAAAGAAATGGAGAGGAATGAATGAATGCACAAGGAAATGGGGGGAGAGGAGAAAGAGACGTCTTGTGTTATCACTCCCAGCTGCACAGTGGCTGCTGTGAGGAGGAGCTTCTCCCCCTGCTGCTGGGAGGAGATGCTGGGAGGAGATGGAGGGGGTGATTTGGGATGGGGGTATCCCAAACTGGGCAAAAAATGAGGCTGACTCATGCCAGCACAACTGGTCTGGTTTAAACCTCACCTCTAGGTGCACAGCTGGATTTCCCCTCTCTTTTTTTCAGATGGCTCTCACCGTTTTAAATCCCAAACTTATTTCCAGCTTAATTCCCAAGCCCTTTAGGGCTCTCCCAAGCACCAGCTTGCCCCAGGGGTTGTCCTGTTACTAACATTTCTTTGTCTCGCTCCTAGGGCTGGGCGATGACTCCCCAGAATCATCCCTCATCCCCATCCACCCCCCCTTCCTCTGGGGGGGTGTCCCAGTGAAACCAGACTCCAGGGATGCAGATGTCCCCACACCAGCTCCTGGCCAGCCCTCCCTGCCCCTGTCCACGGGACCTTCTGGAGATGGGACGTCCTCCAGGCCCCTGGAGGGGGATGGCCACAATGCCACCACGCCTGTGGCAGCACTGTCCCCTGCTCCTGCCTCCGTGGCCGCGACAGACGGTCCCTCTGAGGCCCCCAGCCCCACCTCGGTGCCACCCACCTCAGAGACAGCCCCGGCTCTCCGGACAGCAGACGCTGCCACGATGGATTTGGGGGCAGCTTCCAGCCCCACAGACACAGCTGCACCATCAGCTCCCTCCTCCCTTCCCGCCGGTGACCCCTCCTCACCTCCCGGGATGGCCTTGTCCCCAACGCCTGTCCTGGCGAGCCCTGGCGCCACCCAGCCACCGCTGCTGACCAAGGATGTCCCTTCGCTGGGGACAGTGGCCATGGCACCGAGCCTGGCCATGGAGCCAACGTCCCCCCCAGTGACTGTGGTGAGCCCCACGGAAGCCGAGGCCTCTGAGAAAACCACCGGGGTCACCGTGGAGGAGGTCCCGCGTGCCCTGAGCGCAGGTGAGCACCGCTGCTCCCCGGGAGCGTACAGAGAAAAAGTGTCAGCCTCAGGCTGCTCAGGTAGGAGGGGCACACCTCCCCTCCCCAAATTGGAAGGGAAGAGGTGGTCAGCTTCTTGAGAGCATCGTTCTGCAAAATTCCTGGAGGAGCCTTGTGTCATCCGATCCACCGGCAGAGACCGGGAGTGGTAGATAACAAATCTTGGTTGCCTGGAGATGTGAATAAAATCCTCAGTTCTAAATTTGACTTGAAACACTTAAGGAAGAGAGGAAACAAATGGCTGGATGGTGGGTGCAGCCTGAGTTAGGATGATGCAGGCTTTAGTTTTCCCTCATGGAGAGCTCAGGAAGCTGACACGAGCTTCTCCCTGTCCCCTTCTGCAAACACGGGTAGCTTCAAAGTGCTCCACAAGGCTGGAAAAGGGGAGATCTGGAACATTTCCTAGCCTTGGCTCAGCATTAAGTGCTGCCTGGTGCTGGGAGGAGCATCAAAGAGCCAGTCCATAGCAAAGCCCAGCTGTGTTTCATCCTACATGTTACCTGCTCTGCATTTACTGGAAAGAAAATAAAAACAGAGCGGGGCCCGGCATCCTCTTTGGGAAGCAGTGAGGGGATATTCCCCCCCCTGTCAGAGATGGCTGGCGTGGGTGAATCGGGAGCAGCTGGGCTGTGGGGTGAGTGCCATGGAGCTGGGACCCAGTGGGGCTGAACCCTGCCCTCTCTGACGTTCCATCCACAGGGAGCATCGTGGCCATAACCGTGACGGTCATCGTGGTGGTGGTGCTGGTGTTCGGGGCAGCCGCGTACCTCAAGATCAGGTAAGGCTGGTTTTGGGGCGGCCCCCCGCCTCCCCCAGGCTCCCTGCAGCCCCTCTCACCATCACAGGGGCGATGCAGAGTTCCATCCCCGTCACAAAGTCCCGGGAAGAGGCGGTTCCCAAGCGTGGCAGGGCAGTGTGCAGCCTCTGGTGCCAGCGCGGCGCCGTTCCTCACCGCTCCTGTACTGGAAAGCAGAGTTTCAATCTCTCATTTTGCAATAGCCCTGCTCAAATGCCAGAGATGCTGCTCAGCATAGTCATAACCAGTAATTATCCCTTGGGAAAGCTGCTGCCGTGGGTCTCGCTGTCACTGGGACAATAAACAGCAGCAGAGCCCAGTGCTTGAGCATCCCTAATGAGGCTTTGCTGACAGCCGAGATGAGCAAAGGTCTTGTTTTAATTCCCTGCCCTGTCCAGGCTCATTCAACGGGGGCAAAATTCGGCCTGGGCTTCTCTTCACTTCTCCTGGTCCTTCCTCTTAAAATATCCCAAAGCTTGACCTAGGGAGCCCTCGCATTAATATTTCTTCATCCCGTGGCAAAATAACTAATAAATCCTCAAAGTAACTGGTTTGCTTTCCCTGGCAGGCACTCCTCCTATGGAAGGCTTTTGGATGACCATGACTACGGCTCCTGGGGCAACTACAACAACCCTCTCTATGATGATTCCTAGCAGGGATGAAGAAAGAAACCCCATAAACCCTTAATTTATAAGCGCTTCTGCAGCAGAGCATCCGCTGTCGAGGAGATGCCGGGCACGGAGCCCCTGCCTCAGGCAGGATTTCCAGGGGTCTGGTGGATGACAGGAGCTGGAGAGTGGGTGTGCAGTGCTGACAATAAACCTGAATTTTGGCCTTTGAGCAGGAAACCAGGTCCTGGGACAGGTCAGCCACTTGTTGGAGACAAGGGAACCCAAATTCCCCAGGGGGAAGGGCTGGGGAGGTCAAGGGAGAGGATGGAGGTTCAGCCAGTGCTGTGGCATCCTTTGAAATGCTGCTGCTCTGTGATTTGGGGGTGGGGTGGGGAGTGGGGGGCTGCTGAGCCAGATCCAGCAGTGTGCAGGGGTCTCCTGTGCTTTCACATGTCCCTTTCCCTAAAATCGCTTCCCTGTGTTGCCCTTTGTGAAATCCTTTGCCTCGTCTCACCGGGAACCACGAACAGTTATGGGGCTGCTCAGTCTCTGCTCCCTTTCTTTTTCTGCAGGTGCTTCCACGCAGAAGTTCCTAATTTAATTTTTTTTCCCATTTAACTGTGGGGGTTTTGGTCCCAAAGCAGCCCAGGAGCCCACGGGAAGATGCACTGACCACCCATTTCACACACGTGGCTGCTTGCTCCACAGCTTTGTTTCCATTCCTTAAAAAAACTTGGCTGCTAAAATACAGCGGAGTGTTCTTTTAATCCCCAATCTGTGTGCAGCTTTTAGTGTGGGAAGGCTGGGGGTGGCTGATGGCAGAGCTGGTTTGGGAAGGGGATGCTCAGCCACTTCTCCCTCTGGCTAAATTCCCTGCCCGTGGAAAGCAAAGCCCTCAGTCCACGTGACCTCAATAAATAAACCAGCACCAAATGGCGCCGCAAAATTTTGGGGTGTCCTGGTACAGGTGGGGCAGGCTTGGGAACAGGCTCTGCTGTTCAGCCTGCCTCCTAAATGGTGCATCCCTGGAAACATCAAAGCTTGGGGCGTTTCCATGATTGCTTCCTGCCAGAGATGCATCATCTCCAGATTTCCATCAAGGGAGTGTAATAAACGCGGCCACAGCAGGCACCTGGAAAGGTCAGGAGAGACGAGGGCAGCTCTGCTTCCCAATAGGAAGTGCAATCATTGTGCATTTTCCTTTTCCTCCTGAGCCTTTTTCAGCCTGTTCAGGGGTCCGTCCTTTCACCTCTGCTGTGTGTTCCCCGAGGTCTTTTTTGTTGAAACTTGGTGAAAACAAGAAAATAAACCTGTGAATTGTTGTTGCACCTCCCAGCCACAGCCAGCCTGGAAAACTGTTGGGGCTGGGAGTGTGCACAGAGAGGCACAGGCTCTGGAGATGTTTAGGATGAGAAAAATTCCTTTTCACCTTTTTGGCACCCAAAAAGCAGCGAATTAGGCTACCTTGGCTAAGAAAAACCACAAACTGGGTGAAAAAAAACCACCATCCCTCTTCTCTGGAAATAAATTGGGTGCTGTGTGCTGCTGCTGCTAAACTGAGGGAATAAAGGGAGAGGAAAAGCCATCCCCTCCACTTAAAAGTATATAACCCCGAGGGATTAAACTCCTTTTTCAGGAAGAACATAAATGGGGTGTCAGTTTTCCTGCTCAACCCTGTGCCTCAGAATGAATCGCTCTCTCTTGCCTACAATGCAAGGAAGAAGCTGTACATATTTTTGGGGATATCCCAGGGTGAAAACAGCTTCCTCACTTCCCTGGGATCAGACACCGTTCCCAGTGCCTTTTTTCCCTGTGCAGCTGCCCTGTGACATGGCTGATATGGACATGGATGATGTGTTTCCATCTGCAGAGCGGTTTGCCAGCACGAGCCAAGGCACAGGGCAGCCTAGGGAACAACAGATGCGTTTAACAAGAGAATAAGGCACTTCATTTTGGGGGGTAATGCCCTCAGAGGGAGGAATCCCATGTTCCAGGCAACAGCTTCCAACAACCCTCTCACATTCCCACCTCAGACCCTCTGGTTTATCCGAAGGTTTCTTTCCCACACGAGTATAGCAGGGGAAAAGGGGGAAAAGCAACCAGGACACTCCATAAAAAAAGGCCTTTTTTCCTTCAAAAACAATGGGGTTAACCCTGCTACCAACTTGTTCAATTTGCAAAACCAGCAAATTCCCGTTTTTCCCACAGGCTCCCACAACTCTGGCTCAATTCCACCTCCTCCCAACTCCCTCGCTTCCCCCGTTTCATCTCAGAGATATTTTATTTATGTAGGAAAAAAAATAAAAACAAAAATAGCTCGCATAGCTCCGTGCGGAACGTCCCATTCCCCAACCCCGCGGGCAGCGGCGCCGGGGACGCCGCGATCACGTCTCCGCGTCTCCCGCCTTGCCCTGGCTGCAGAGCCGCCGGCTGCTTCATCACCCTCCTCCAGACTGCCTCTGGCCACCCTAATGATGCTCCTGTTCGGCTCATTTGTGAATATTGTGAATACTGAATACTGTGAATATTGAATATTGTGAATGTCCCACGTATCACCCGCGTGTTTCCAAGCGTCCAACCTCCTCAGACTCCTGGTGGAGTTACCGCAGCGAGCAGCAATGAGTAGCTCCTGGTTTGCAGCCTCCTGGTTGCTTCTTGGGCACAGGGATGGGCTCAGGTGTCAGAAGCCAACTCCAGCTGGGACCACGAAGGAGCAAATCCAAGGAAAGCGCCGCATTTCCAGCCTGGAGGTCCCGGCACGCCCCTGGGCTGAGCTTGGATCTATATGGATGCTCGGCTGCCCCTCTGAGGTAAAAATAGCACAACACGAGGAGCCTCTCCCTCACTGCGTTCCTTCCAGCTGGAAATTTAAAAACAGATGGTTTCTCTGCAGCTGGGAAGGGGCGAGACATCGGCCCCAGCACCGGGAAAGCCGCAGGAAGGGGCGGATGAACCGGAGGTTTAGCGTGGAACACTCCCCACTTCCATCCCAAATGATGTTATTGGAGCAAGCCAAAACCACACCAGAGGCACCAAACCAGCCCCAAGTTGGGGATCCCCGTTCCCCACAGCTCCTGAGCCGTTGTCCTGCACCTTCCCCTGGGATGGAGGCCTCAGCTGAGCCCCCCAGTCCCGCATTCCCAGTCCCAGGCTCGCTGCCTTCCCGAGTCCCTCTCCCGAGTTCCGCATACCTCGGCGGGCCCTGGCTTTATTAATAGCTCCGTGACCTCGTGTGCGGCTGCAGGCCCCGCGCCTGCTGCAACTCCACATTTTTCCCACAAAGCAGCAGTAATCCCATCTGCTCCTGATTCTGGCCTAGATGGGTGGGCAAGGCAGGATTCCCTATGGCTCCCGTAGCCAGAGGGCAAGCTCTGGCCAAGGCAGATGCTGCTTCCATCCCGGGATCACCTCGGCGCGCTGATCCCAGCGTCCTTCCCGCTCCCATCGGCTGCATCTGCATGGAAAGGGCAGCAAAGATCCCTCCAGCACCTCCCATCCCATAAAGCAGCTCCTTTCCCCTCTTTATCCCTTCCATTGTCCTTTATCCCCTGAAAATGCCATTCCTTTTCCTGCTGTGGGATTTGTTCCCTGGCAAAGGGAGCTGAGGGCTCGGTGCCAAGATAAACACACCGAGCAGCGGTTCAGCGTTCCCTCAGCATTCACAGGCCCTCGTGCACCTTCCAGAGGCAAACACCAAAAAAAAGGAGAGCAAAAGGACAAAATCACCTGGATCCCACACCATGAATCGTTCTCCTTCCCACTACCACAGTCAGCAGGACCTGCTCTTCCAAAGCTCAGCCTAACCAAGGGTTTCCTTTCAGCCTCCTCTTGTGGTTGGAACCCAAACAAGAATATTTCCAGTTAATAACTGGAATAAAATTAGCATGCCATTTAACAGTGAACCTGCTTGGTTACTGACTTGACCAGCACGGGTTTTACCATTAGCAACATACTCCAAGGCTATTTGGCCAGAGTTTTCCGGGATGACAACCCCTGCAAGGCTGATGGGAGCCCCACTGGCACTTCCAGGCTTATCTGGGAGCAGGTCTCCATCCAGGGAAGGAGGTGGAGTCACCGAGTGCCAACCAAAGCAGCAGGGAGTCTCGCTTGTACCACAAAACAAAAATACAGAAACACAGGAGCTTGTAAAAAATGAAGCACTTCTTCTCCTAACAGTGTCTCAGGCCTCACATCCAACCATTTTTCAGCACTGAATCATGGTTTAAACTCAGCTGGGAATTTCCAGGGAGTACGTGCGTGGAAGAAGAGCACATCACGCAGTGTCACTTGTTTATTTTAACAGAGAACTTATTTTACATTTATTTATAGCAGTGAGAAAAGTGCTCCAGAAAAAGATACCCCAGTCAAGGCAAGCTACAACAGCTATCATCCAAATCCTAAATACTCCATGCAGAAAGGGGCACTGCTGGATTAAGAAAAGCTCATTTTACAACAGAACAAGTTAAAAATGAGTAGCTGTAACCTTACAAGTAACTGACTCTTTTTTAATATCCTATTACTGTAAAGCATCTGCATGTGAAATTCACAGGAATCAAGAACTTTCTGCAATATTTAAGACTGCGAAACACCTCAGGCAGGAGGTCACACGAAGAAGGGTGGGGCTGGGGTTTTCACTTCTTTTAAAAGGCAGTCGTTCACCCCCCCCATTGTCCCCCCCCCAGGGAAGTTCTAACAAACTTCTTTCTAACTGAAGTTAACAAACGCCAGAACCACAGAAAATTGGTCCCTGCAGCATTGGAGCACCTCTGGACTGCTGCTGTCTCAGTGAACATCTCGGGCTCAGCCTGATGTGAAGCATATGCTTCACTTCAGTTACCTCACCAGCAAAACTGAGCTTTGCACGAGCCTAAAACCCTACACCACCTGGGCCTTTGCCAGTGAACGGTGCAAAATGAGGAAGAAATGGGGGAACAGAGCGACTGCGGCTGGCAAAGGAATCTGAACGAAGGGACGGCAGCGAGCCAGGATGAGGCCCCAAAACTCCTCCCGCTGCTGCATCAGCTGCTCACCGCATCTCCTCGTGCTGCTCTTCTAATCTGCCTCCTCCCTGACGCAGTCAAGGACTCCTTGAACTAGGAATACTGGAATTTTTACTGACAAAGAGTTGCTTTGTTTGTAAAACAAGTCTCTCCCGTGGCACAGCGCTCCCCGTCCGGCCGAACGCCGCGCGTATCCCGGTCACTGCTCCTCCAAGGACAGCCGGCACCGCCCGTCCTGGGC